CTTTGATTGCTTAGCTTCCTCCTGCACACCCCAACCTGGGCATGTGCCCTGACTGGGAATCGAACCCTGACCTCCTGATTCACAGATCAACACTCAACCACTGAGCCACACCGGCTGGGCTAGTTTCTAGTTTATTTATCCTATGCTATTTTTATACAGCTAAGCAGATACACTATTGTTTCCTCTCCTTTCTTACTCTAAATAGAGCATACTATAGATACTTGGCAAAAAAATATTTTCTAAAAACCCAAATGTCTAATAATAGGAGAATGATTGGATATGATGAAGTACTATGTAGCCATTTAAAAAGTTTTCAAAAAATAAAGATTTGGGGAAAGGCTTACAAAATAATTTTAAGTGCACATTTAAGTATAAAATAAAGTACGTGTTAAAATGTAAAATTTTTTTAATAAAAAATTTGTTTTCACTTTTAGAAAAATGATAGGGAGAGACAATGTGGCAAATTAGAAAACAGAACAAAACACCAGAAATTTGATGAGAAGGAAATGTACTAGAACATTAGCAATTCTCTGGGTGGTGGAATTATAGATTATTCTCATTTTTCTAGTTTTAAAAACTCACCACTCATAGGGCAGGTGATACCTGGATACCATTTATCAAACCATTTTTTGTGCATTAAAAAAATAAGTAAAGCGTGCAATTGGTAAAAATTAAAAACCGTTCCAAAATAGTTTAAAGTGAAAAGTCCGTCTTCCTTCCCTAAGTTCCCCTCCCAGGGGCCAGCTGTTTCTAGGCTCTCTGTATTTTCCCAGAGAACACAGGCGCATACAAGCACCACTTGAGGATAATTTTATATCAGTGTGTATTGATCTGCTGTAATTACTTACATAGCATAGTCATTTCTTTTCCTTCCTTAAAAAAAAAAAAAAAAGCTTCAGTGGGGAAAGAACTATCTCTGCCTCCCCAAAGTTGCAATTATCCAAAGGTAACAAGAAGCCTACGCTGGCAGCGCCAAAGTAATCTGTGATTTTTATGCCAAGAAAGTGTTGGGCACTAGGTCAGTTGCATGATGTCAGGTGTGTTCGTGCTGTGGGCTTTGGGAAGCGGCTGAAGCAGCAGGTGTGTTGGATAAGGTCGCGGCCTTGGGTGCAGCATGGATTGGGAAGGACTGGTGAGGTGTCCCCTGGCATTCTAACTCCAGGATAGCCACAGACACTAGCAGCAACTCTTTTACTTTATCATTTTAGTATTTCTTTATAGAACATTTAATGAAAAAATACCATCATCAGGGGCCTTAGTGTTTATCTATTTGGGAAAATTTAATTCAGCAAGCTTTGATACTATAAAAGCAGTGGTTCTCAACCTTCTGGCCCTTTAAATACAGTTCCTCATGTTGTGACCCAACCATAAAATTATTTTCGTTGCTACCTCATAACTGTCATGTTGCTACTGTTGTGAATCGTCATGTAAATATCTGATATGCAGGATGGTCTTAGGCGACCCCTGTGAAAGGGTCGTTCGACCGCCAAAGGGGTCGCGACCCATGGGTTGAGAACCACTTGCTATAAAGGGTTCATGTTACAGAGGAGTAAGTTTTTAAATACAGGCTTTATTTCGATATAGATAATACGGAATCCTTTGTTGGATTCAAAATCCAGCTTAACAATAACCCACAAACTTCCGACAACTTGGATTCAAAATTCAAAAGGCACAGAAAGGTGTATACTACAGTGAAAATGTGCCTCCTCCTGTCCTCCAGCCACCCAGTCGCTTGCAGGCAACCAAGGTAGCCAGCTTCTTGTAGAGTGAACTTCAGTCTCCACCCCACCTTTTGCATCACGGAAACTTCCAGACCCACAGAGAAGCTGGAAGAACACAGCGAACCCATCCACTCACCTGCATTCTCCAGGTGTTTAGGTTGTGCGCCATTTGCTTGATCTGTGGGTGTCTGTGTCACTGCGCACCCGGACACACACGCACGCATACTTCTGTCTCTGAATCATTTGAAAGTAATTGCACATTTGAAAGTAAATCAGCCTCTCACCCATGAGCCCTTAGCCCTAAACACTTCAGCAGGTATCCCCTAAGAACACAAGGACCTTCAACGCACCCATGATATCACTATTGCACCCAGGAACTGTAACATTACTCTAAAAAGTACCAGATTTCTCCCATATGGGCCAATAATGTCCTTTATAATAATGCTTCCCTCTAGAAACCAGTCAGAGAGCACTGATTTCATTTATTGTCATGTCTCTTTAGCCTACAGGTCAGTGATGGAGTCGATTGGCCCTCAGTATAGCGTTATCTGATTGTCTCCTTGGGACTAGATTCAGGCTGAATGGCTTGGCATGACCCAAATGTGGTTTGTCCCATTATCAGTGATTCTGAGTGTGATCACGCGGTCAGTTGGCCCCCACCAGGTTTCTCCGCAAGGTACTCAGTGTGCCTGGTTTCCTTTGAGAGGAAAGGACCGCCTGATTGTCCTGTTCCCCAGCCTCTCACCCACTGATTAGAGACCCCTTTGACGATCCTCACCCAAACATTACATGAGTGGTTGCAAAATGGTTTTCTAATCATGCTATCCTAGCTACGTTACTGGATGGGGCATTTTCCCATAAAACAGAGCTTTTTCTTTCCCTCCCGTTTTGTTTGTTTGTTTATTTGTTTTTTATTTCTTTTAGTAACATAAGGGATTTTCCCCCATC